TTATGACAAATGACTACGTTATGGAGATACAAGAGTCAGAACAAAGTGCTTGCATTTCCTGTGGTTTATACTAAACTAGATGAGCTCTTAAGAAATGAATCTAGACTCATACTCTACAGTAGCCAGATTGTGAATATAGTGACTCTAGCTGCCTTTCACATGTTGCCAGATGGCTATATTAAGAGGATCCAGTCACTGTCAGTTAGGAAGACAGCCAAAAACCTGTCTGTTTTAAGAAGCCATTCAGCCATTGAAGAATTGATACTCCCATAAATGAAATTTCAGGGAAGTGTAGAGTAAAGAATCTTTCTCAAGGCTGCCAAAATGATTTATTGCATGCTGAGATTTTATTCACATACATATAGACTGCAAGCAGATGATGCATTACATTTGTTTTTTAATTGCATATTGTTTTCTTGCAAGAGCAATTGAAGTTGGTGATAATATATAAGAAATTGATTTTATGTCTCAAAGCTCTTTTTCCAAAAACACATAGGCATAATAGGGGAAATTTAGGAATTATCTTAAAAAGAAATCCCACATTTTATATCAATGAAGCAAAAAAAAGGAAAAATTAATTTATATTTCTGGAAAATATATATTAAAGTTTTAAAATTATTATTGTTTAATATCTGACACCAGTGTTTTTCATGTAAAACAAAAAGAATGTGAATCCTATTTTAAAATATTAAAAGTACAGTCAAAAGAAATATTATAAAGTAAAATATTTTCCTTTGAAATTATGTAAGGAATTAGTCTATTTAATCAAGTTACTTAATTCGTGTGTATAGTGCTGTTGATAGCATTTTATTATGCTTTTAATGTCCCTGGGATCAGTAGTGATATCCCCTCTTTCATTCCTGATATTGTTCTTTTGTGTCTTTTCTCTCTCTTTTTCTTGGTTACAGTGGATAAAGTCTTATTAAATTTATTGATCTTTTCAAAGAACCAGCTTTAGTTTTCATTGATTTAGTCTATTATTTAACTGTTTTCAATTTTGTTAATTTCTGTTCTACTGTTCATTTTATTTCTTCTGTCTGTTTTATATTTAATGTGCTCTTCTTTTTCTAGTTTCCTAACGTGAAAACAGGTTATTGGTTTTGGCAGAAGGAATGGGGGAAATGTATGACTCCATCCTATCCAGAAGTGGAAAACTTACTAACTTTTAATAGCTTTCACTTATGAATAAGTTTAAAATTTTTAATACATTTTTTATATAGTGGTACCTACTTATATTTTATAAAATACATGCATAATTATTGCTTGTTGTCTTAGCCTGAGTGTCCACAAAAGAGAGTGTGATACAAGAGTTTCTATGTGAGTAGCGTATATGGCAAGTGGTTCTAGTGAGTCAGAGTAAGGAAAATGAGTGGTGAAACAAAGAAGGAAAAGTCAAACAAGGATGTGTTATGAAATTGCACACCAACACAGTCAATTGGTGCTTGATCCCATGGGTCCAAAGTTGGTATCAATTTTTGTGAGGATGAATAACTGCCACCTCCAAGATACAATGGGTACAGTGCATTCAAGGCGGAATGAGGTAGGTTGGATATCCCTGATGGAAGGTGCAGAATTGAGGGCCCAGCATCAGATGCTGCTCTTGGGGAGTTATACATTTAGCAATGGCAGTAGCTTGATCACCCTTCGCAACAGAGAACCAATGCTGTCGAGCCCGAGTTTAGGCTCCACTCTTGCCACCATGACAATTCATGGATCCATTGTGACAAAACTAAGATGACTCAGGAGAGAAGCTGTTTGACATTCACAGCATGAGTCATCAGATCCACTTGGTTATTAAGTAACTTCTCTACAGTCAATTCCTTGGACGGCCATTACTATGAGGCACAGAGATGCATAAGCTTTGTTTTCATTCTCATAGTCCCATTCACACGCCTCTTATGTGAACTTTCTAATCTTCAAATTCTAATCCTTCTCCTTCTAAGACCCTGACATACAAGCCAAATCATTCTCCACAGTTCAGGAGACGACCTCATGCTATTACTCCCTCCATACAAACTGAAGGACCAGGTGGAATGCTCACAGCTCTGCCATATTGTTGCTTTTCCATTCAACATTATTGGTTTTTTTTTTTTTTGAGGAAGATTAGCCCTGAGCTAACTGCTGCCAATCCTCCTATTTTTGCTGAGGAAGGCTGGCACTGAGCTAACATCCGTGCCCATCTTCCTCTACTTTATATGTGGATGCCTACCACAGCATTGATTTCCAAGCAGTGCCATGTCCACACCCGGGATCCGAACCAGCAAACCCTGGGCCGCCAAATTGGAACGTGGGCACTTAATCGCTGCGCCACCGGGCCAGCCCCTCAACATTATTCAACTGAAGCTGAAGCGTGGCAGCAGTTCATTTGCAGCTATCATCAATATTTAAAGCTGACACAACTGTGCACCAGGCTTGATAACTTCCTCTTCCATTAGTTAGTCATAGATTACCCCCTACCTCGTGAGGGGCATCATTGCAAGAATGGTCAATGGCTTGGGGTTTTGTGCAATCTGCTGATTTATTTGTGCCATCTCGGGCTGGATCCTGAATGTAGCATTTCCATCATAGGGTGGACTGCTCTTGAGTCTGCCAAACCCTATCACTTGGTGAATCTTATAATGTACAGCTTATGGTGGGCAGCTCATGTCATATAGTCATTTGCTGTCTCTTGGTTAGGCACTCTGTATCTACTAAGCCTCAATAGCATACAAAGAGCTGTTTTTTTAAATGGCAAGTAGTTTACTGGCACAGGAGTTATGGCTTTTGTTCAGAACTCCAGGATTTTGTGTTGCAACTCCCATGTTATGGCTTAGAATGACTAGATGGTGCATCCTTATCCACCATAGATACGGTAAACACTGTCAGATATGCTGAGTCATGTGACCTGAGTAGCAGGGTAACCTGCAGTGCAGATCCGAAAACCTGGTGGAGGACCACGATTTTCCACTGCAGCTGCTAACATGAAACTTTGGCCTGCCAAGTCTCATGGTTTTCTTTTTGTACAAAAGAAGTAACACTACAGTCAACTCTGCATACATCTATTCCTGGAATACTATCTATAAGGCATTGCCACAGATTTCTGTCAATCAAAATAACCTGACTCTACTCTGACCTCGCTTTCCATTATGATAATGTTGCCCAACTTGCCCCTGAGGTTTTGTGCCACCATCTAGGCCCTGCCATTCAGGAATCCTATCGTCTCCATTACAACATAGTCTACTTCCAATCATGGCTTGTACAGGAGAGCTAACACTGCACTTCTCAAAAATATGTGTTCCCCTTACCAACACATTCCTTATTACAGTAGTGTCTTCTCTGCCATCCCAGGGAAAATAGTTTAAAGATAGGTCCTCTTGTGTCACACAACAAATCATTTGTAACACCTTAAATCCCTTTGACCTCCTCACCAATTCCTTAATACTCTTGCGAGGAAGTTCCAGTGCCTCCATCTTATTTACTGTAGGCTGTTGTCCAAGCTTAAAGATGACACTCGAGCAGCATATTACGGCAGCTCCAGCTCATTGAACCCTGAGTTCATAGGTGTGTGCTCCTGTGTCAGTAAGTGCTCCCCTATATTCACTTATATTCTGCCCCCTTCCCTTGGTAATTCAACATCCTTAAAATCCATTCCAACGTATATTATCCCAGTTCATGCTATTACATACTAGCCAGTTCCTATAGTTCCTTCAGGATTTCCCACCTAAACAGAGACTGTATTTTTCTTCATATGCTGTGATGATACTTCACCCTTATGATTTGGAAATGCAAAATATCAGTGCTAGATGTTGAATAAGACAAGCAATGTCTTTGGACGTAGCTACTTTAGATGAGGTTACTGGCCTGTCTCTAGGAACAAGGAGACTGCTCTCCAATAGCAAGGGTTAAGGGGCTGCTTTTGCCAGGATGGGGGTTCAGGGGCTAGTAGGTATTCTAAATTCTCATACTCATCAGCACTCGAGGTCTCAGAGTTCTATTCTTTCCTTATTAGGATATACATATTGATATAGAGACCTCCAAATGTTGTGAATGCAGTTTCCATGCAGCTCTGCCAATCTCATAATTAGAATCTGGGCCTGATATTCAGCAGTGCGCCTTATGACTAGAGGAGATGAGCGTCTCCTTAATTCCATGGGTTAGGGTGGATGACATGTTGGGCATCCCAATCAGACATACAAATTTAGCTAAGAGATCCAGATTAGGGCAATCGTAGAGCCTGCCTCAACAACCACCCTGGCTGAAAGGGATCACAGAATCCACATTGAGTTAGAAGCCAAACTCATCCACTCCCACACTTCAAATGCCAACTCACTCAAAGAGAATAGATGCTTGTTTGAGGTACATCTCCCTCACTTCAGTCACAATATAAATGACATCCCAGGAAGAATCAAGTGCCCTCCCTTTACCCCAAAGCAGACACCCAGGAACTCACAAATATGGGGGAGCTTGAGGCTCTGGTTTTCAAATACGGGCAGTTAGTCCATGAGGTTAATAAATATTTCTCACTATTATGGTGATGTAGTGCATCCTAGTCGTTTTAGAAATTAGATTATTATCTGGTTCACCTTAAATCTGACCCTGTCATCTGGGTCACCTTAAACCTGTCATTTCAAGTTCTCAGAGCAGAGCTTTAAACCACACATTGCTTGTTCTGCTGACTCACAATTGTATACATGCATAAATGAATGAATGACATAGTAAAGAAAATATTATAACCAAGAGGTAAAGATGGCTCCACTGAGAAAACTGAAGGTGGGTAATACATTGGAATCAAAGGGACACACTGTTATAGAATTAATACAGTGTGTTTTCCCAGTCCACATATAGTATGGTAATGGTACATTGTCAAAAACTCCTCAGGATCATGAGGAAGCTACATGGATTGGTACAGGCTTTATGTGCGAAGAGTTTTGGTCTTTGTCAGGCAGGGTCCAGAGACGGATCTGTGGAATCTGATGCTTATACAATTTGGAAGGTTTTCTTTTAAAATAATACAAAATCAATCATGAAAGCAAATATTTATTTAGAATGATAATATGTAACAAGCATTAAAATGACAACTACAACAAGCAAAAATTCTGAGCAAATTATATATATATGTATGTGTATACACACACACACACACATAAATCTACAGAAACAGCACTTATGTAGCTGCACAGTGTGAAGTATGATGAAGTGAACATCGAAGGCAAAAGAAAAATCAAAACGTTGAACTTTTGAAAATTTTACATAAACATGTAGCCACGTGAACACATAACAAAAGCCCGAGAGTGATAGTTGTCTCACTCTTAAGAGTAAAAATGCAGACAGGTTCATGTTAAGCATTTATCATTTATTTTTATGTCAAGTTTTTAAAATAAAGTAGCTCTCCTAACATTTATTCTCACTAAAGTCTTGTTTCAAGTTAGAATAAACAATTTTTTTGCTTCAGACTTTAAGTTTTAATTGTGTATTTTTAAACACATTTGGATAACTGTCATATCTGGCTAGATGGAGGCTTTTTCTGTGGCCCATTTCCAAATTCACAGATTCTGGTCCATCCATACTTTCTAGTAGCCTGGAATGACTTACCAGTTGGCACTTGTATTATTGGAACTAACTGGAACTATTTTACAAATAAGCCAGATGATAAAGATTGCTTGGTTTGAAACAAATAACTATGTATTTGGAGATACAAGACTCAAAACAAAGTGCTTGCATTTTCTACAGTTTATATCAAACAAGATGGACTCTTAAACAGTCAGCCTGAACTCATATCTAGAGTAGCCAGACCTTGAATACAATAACTCTAGCTGCCTTCCATATGTGGTCAGACGGCTATATTAAGATACAGTCACTCTTAGTTATGAAGACAGCCAAAAGTCTGTCTGTTCTAAGAAACCATTCAGCTATTGAATAATAGACACTCCCATAAGTGGAATTTCAGGGGAGCATAGAATGAACAATCCTGTTCAATGCTGCCAAAATTATTTTCTGCATGCTGAGATGTTACTCGCATACATATAGATTGCATGCAGGCAATCCATTTACTTTATTTTTGAATTCCAGGGTTTTTTTTTTGCAAAAGCAACTGCAGTTAGCTATAATATATAGCAAAGCATCTCTATCTTTGGTTCTATGTCTCAGAAATATTTTTTCCAAAAATAAATAGGCATGGCAGGAAAAATAATTCAACTATCTTAAGAGAAAACCCAATATTTTATAAAAATTAAGCAAAAAATATATAATTGACATTTTTTAGACTTTTTTCTAATTATCTTGCTTAATATCTAATACCAGTGCAATTTTAATATTAAAATGATTGTGCACACTCTATTTAACTATACAGCATAGACACAAAAATGTCAAAAAACAAAATAGTACTTTCCCTTAAGACTCATTTAGGAACTATGCATTCTACAAATGTACGGGAAAGCAGAACTGCTGAAATATGTTAATAAAATTGACTTTGAAGAAGCATAAGCAAAGGAAATGAAGATGTAGTAATACAGATGTTAGAGATTGCAAAAAAAAGTGAACATATTACCTGAAGTCTCACATTTCTGGAAAATACGTATTAGACAGAAACGTTCAGCGATTTTTCAAAACTAGTATCTACGAAAGCTCCCTGTTATGGTTCGGACTTTCAGGAGATTCAATGAGCTTCACTTGTTAATGGTTTCCGTCTCTTTTCCGATATGATTTTTGCATCAAATAATTCTCTTTCTCTGTATCCTAGAGATGGTCCTTTTAGATACTTTGCTTCAGCTGCCTCGTAATCTAATCCATCAACAGCAGAAATTGAACAAATGATTGCTTCTGGCAGAAGCACTTCTAGGATAAATTTAATTTTATCGTCTCTTATCAGAGCCAGCATTCTTTCGTCTATTTGTTTGTAGATTTCTTGTAAATATTTCACCACCTCATCCAACTGATCTTCATCCTCAAAGTAGGTTTCAATACAGGGCGTGAACCTATTTGCATTCAAAAATGCTTTCAGCCACCTGGAGCCTTTTGTGCCTTTTAAAATTGCTAGAAGATGGTTCTCTGTTCCCCTGGCATTCACAATGAAGTCCACTAGGTTCTTGTTGGCTCGGTCCCGAGCAGCCTTCATTCGGTCAGGGAGAATTTTCTGGAAGGACATTTTCTTGGTCTGGGAAGTCACAACCATTGATTCCACAGAATCTTCATTATGTAGCTTTGGAAATAAGTTCCTGAAGGTATCCTGTTTGAGTACTTTCCTAATTGGATAACTAATGTCAGCAGCATAATACTCAAGGAAAGAGCCTGAAAAAGAACCACAACCTATTCTAACTCTGTAGTCACAAATGAGCGAGATGCACCAGTCAATACTTTCGCTGTAATCCTCCCTGGCTTTATCCACTAGTGCTTGTTTCTCTTTACAATCAAATTTCTTTAATCTTCTAAAAGGCACTCTAATGCCTCTCTTTTCAGGATTCATGTTTGCCTCAACAAAAAGCACACTTGCTTTTTTCTCTTTTCGCCTGATGCTTTTTACCACTGCTGGCCAAAATGGATATTTCTGATATTTAAACCAGACTATCATTCCCGTTTCAAATGAACGTGGCTCATAATGAAAAACAAAGCGTGGAAGCTCTTCATCTTCCTCACTGTCATCAAATACAGAAGCATCAATAGGATTTAGATGCACTGACTTGTCAGAAGCTTGAGGTTCTTCCCCAAGTTCCTCAAAATCCAATCTCTGAAGATTTCTTTCATTATCCACAAGAAGGACTGAATAATCCAGGACACGATTAGAGGCACTAAGTGAAACCTGACATTCCAGTGAACAAGGTCCGGGGGATGCCACAGCACCTGTCTCTGATTCCACAATAGGTTGATTCTGGCTGGTATCTGAGCATGGATTCGAGGGACCCTCTCCAGGATCTTCAATATTCTCTGAGACGGTAGGGCATTCAGAGGAAGTAGGTATAGTCTCTGGGCAGATTACCTGTGTCTCCCCTTTCAATTCTTTGGGCACAGTGAAGATATCTGATGGCAAAGTTGGAGTGAACTTTTCGTCTTTAACACATGCACCCTCCTCTTTGATTGTGGAATGCAAAGACATAACTGTTGAGATGTCAATCTTTTTCTTGTTCTCCTTTTCATCATCATCTTCTGAAAGTGAGGGGAAAGTTTGGTACCAGCTGGAGTTCTGTGATGACTTTGTTTCCATTTCACTCGGAATAGTATCAATGGTGGCATGTGCATGTGATTTATCCTCTTGCAGGGAATCATCATTGTCTGAAGATACTAACAGAGAGGTTGGATTTTCACTTTCCTCAAGACGCTTCAGTAAGTCTCCTTCATGCTTCCGATATTTTTTACGCGGGGGTGAATTGGAAAGCTTTTCTTGTACGTTTTCAGACAGTGTAGTGGTCTCTTCTTCATCTGAACTGCTTGCTTCACTCAAATTTGTTCTCTCATTCAGAACATCCAGTGCCACTTTTAGTGACCTTTCATAGGTCGTTTCCTCTCTAGGTGGAGCACCAACCTCTGACTGCGCTGCTAGTGAGGAGGCAATGGCTTCAATTTTAGATTTATTTAGGATCTTTGTTTCTGTGCTTTCCACTTGAATTTTTTCATCTAGGGAGAGTATTTGAACTTCTAGGGAAAATGTCTTTTTTCTCTTACTGTTTGATGAAGTCTCAGATCTGGACAGAACTTTTGCTGGCCATAATTGGTCTTTCCAATTGCACAGGACATACTCGGCATCCATTATGATTTAGATTTGTATGCCAAGAAGTTATTATCAGAGATTGAGGTATCTGGCTATTCTTGTCACTGCGAAGGCAGTTCCTACCAAAAACAATACTCTTACCAAAGTCTCTTTTAGTCTTAGAACTAAAAAACGTTTACACCTTGTGTGGCCTGTTCTCCTCCAGCTCAATTTCCCAAGGATGCTTGAACACGTTGTTTGAATGGGACAATATGGAAGATACTGAAATAGGGAAAAGGAAAAGAAGAAAAGTATCAGCAAACAAAATTATTCTGCCAAAGTAGAAGGTGAGCGATTGCAAATAGAGAAGAGATAAAAGAAAGAACAATGCTCAGGGGGGCATCAGATGGAGGATAAAAATGTAGCATAATGTAAGGTGGGGGATAAGAATTGGACAGGTGGTTTTATAATACCTCAGATTCAAGAACTTGCCCTTATTATTGCACATGATTATTAAGAAGTGAATTTGTATACATGCCAGCAGAGGTGAGAGAGGTTGCAGTGGTGTGTTAAGGACTCTATTCATGTTATTAGATACTTTGGGACTTTTGTGCCCCTAATGTTATAGCTAGGGCAGTGGGACTCTAAACTTAGCGTGTATCAGAATCATCTGGAGGACTTGATAAAGCTAGATTTCTGGGCCCTATCCTGAGATTTATTCAGAAGGTCTAGATAAGACCCAACATTTTGTCTTTCCACTAAGTTCTCAAGTCATTCTGATGCTACCTGCCCAAGAAGAACTCCTTGAGAAGCACTGTGCTAGCTGAACACACAGCTTTATCATTTTTAAGCTATAAATGCTTCCCTGTTGACCCAAAGGTAGACAAAGATAATAGGGTATCTATCTCCTGGACCCAGACAACAACACAATGACCTTATTAAAAGTATGAGCTTAGAAGGCAGAGATTCAGAATGGCTGCTATGTTCAATTACTGGATAAGATAGTTATTAAGGATTTCTTGAGAATCAGATGGCTAGCTAGGCACTCAGGTAGAAATCTGAATAACCTTTTGCAGGGTTTCTTCATAGTGGTTTAACACGACATTTTTTTTTTTTTTAAGAAGATTAGCCCTGAGCTAACATCTGCTACCAACCCTCCTCTTTTTTGCTGAGAAAGACTGGCCCTGAGCTAACACTTGTGCCCATCTTCCTCTACTTTATATGTGGGGCACCTGCCACAGCATGGCTTGACAAGCGGTGCATAGGTCTGCACCTGGGATCTGAACTAGCGGACCCTGGGCTGCAGAAGCAGAATGTGCGAGCTCATCCGCTGTGCCACCGTGCTGGGCCCTAACACATGAGATTTTTTCCCCCCAAACTACAAGCATTCATTACAAAACATTATGGCTATAGAACAAGGAGCAAAATAAATTATGCCTCCATTTTTCAACTTACTGTGATTTTAATATCAAAAGCGGCTTTAAATTTAAAATGCTATGGCTGCAGAGCAGGAAGGAAAATAAATTATACTCTAATTTTTAATGTAAAATGCTTCGTGAAATGAGAAAAGCCTTACCCAATGTCACGTGGATCATGGAGGGTCTGGCCCTGTGATCCGGTTGTCTTGATTCTCACTCCAAAAGGAGACAGGCTGTCCAAAAGGGAATCAAATCAATTAAGTGGAAAAGGCAGAAGAAACTTCCCTACAAAAACTTGAGTAGGTGCGCAGTTCTGAAACACAGGAATGAAATGAAATCTCATCTGTGATGTAGATGCCATGTTTATTTTCCTTCTTGTTCTTATTATTTTAAATTATCTCTCTGTGATACAGTTATGTTATTTGGTTCATGCTGAAATCATCTCTCTCAGGAAAAGCGTGAGGTGAAGACAAGAGCGAAGGGGAGTAACAATTGCCTTGTATCTACCATAAGCCAGATTGTAGATTTTGTTTGAACTTCACATCAGTCACCATGCAGATTTTTCCTTCTTTACACATATAATTTTTCAACAGAATTTTAATCACGCTTTACATGCTGTCTCATTGTCCACTAATACAAAATGTGTTTCATTGCTTTGTTTGCTACTTCATAAAAATAATTGCCTGGAGAAAACTCAGGAAACCTGGCAAGCTCCATCTTGTGACCAGAACCAGAACTGCAGCCTCCCCAGGAGGTATAAGCAGGGCCTCAAGCACTACGAGATCCTTCCTACAAGAAGGGTGGGAACTACATTTAGCCAGCCAGGAGCCTTCCAAGGCTTTTAGAATTTTCTATCCTAAACTCAAAGGTTTTCTTGTGTAGGATAATAACGGGATCATAATATCTTCAACCACAATGTTTCTGGTTATAAAAACATCCAGAAGCTTATTAAAAGTTGAAAAGATGTAGAAAGATATATGCAAAACAAAGTACAAGTCTATACAAGTAATCACTATGAATATTTTCTTTCCAGATTTTTTACATGTATAGATGAATGCATATCATTTCAAATCAACATCAGATCTCAATTAAGAGTATAGTTGGAACATCACTCCACATAATTTTTTTCCAAATGACCTTTTATGAATTACTTTAAATGAGGTGTTTTCCACACTGGCAACATTTTATCTCAATATTTTCCCTGATGATGTAAAACAAGTAAATGTATAAGCATATATTAATAATATTTTAAATAGAGAGCAGTAAAGCTAGCCTTTTCTCCAACTACGTAAATATCAATTCCAGATTTGGTTGCATGTACTGTAGTAACATCCTCATGTTTCACAAACATACATATTTACTTTTAAGTGAGATCATATAAATGCTATGCTATAATTTGCTTTTTTCACTTTATATTATTTCTCAGACATTTCAAACCACCTTAAGCAGAGGTTCATGTTTCTATTCTCCAGATACATAGTATGGCTACATCATGCCATCATAAAATATTTTAAAAACCGCTTATAGAAATAAACCAAATCCTCTCTCTGTCTCATTCTTAAACTTAAAAGATATAGAAAAATGGTTCTTGCTGACCACAGTCGTACCTGTGGTCTGAAAGAATGAGCTGCAAGGAGGACACAGGCAGGGCTGTAGCCAACACAGCAACCAGGCTACAAGCTTGATGAGGTCCAGGAAAATTTTCACTATCGGCAAAAGACAAGGAGGGTATGTTTGTATGTTTGTGTGTGTCTACGAATGTTCATGTGTTTGAAACAAAATGGTAATGTTGTTTCAGCTTCATTTTTCTTTCATGATTATAAAAATAACCATGAGGAAATTTACATGAAAGATGCTGAAACAGGCTAAAAAATAATATTAAAATAGTAAACTGACCACCTAGAAATGCTGACTAATGGGGGGTTATTTGCTCTCAGATTTTTTCTAATCACACATATATACATGCATATATATGTCAAAGTGTCTTCACTTAACTACATAGTTGTGCCCCTTTGCACGCTCACGTACAGGTGATACATACATAGTCTATGTGTCAACTCATAGAAGCATTTTCCCCCATGCTGTCAAATATTTTTATCTGTCATTTTTCTAGGTAAATTAATAAATGCTTAAAAATTTAAACAGTAACAGAATGTTCAGCAACATAAACATGGAATGCCAAGTCGATAAATTAGCATGAATGGCCACACTGCACCAAAGTCTTAATATAGAGGCTGTAACCTGATCACCCCTTCTCCCACTGTGGACTTTTAAAGCATTGGGGGATACAAAAATTCCAAAGGATTAATTTTTTCAAATGCCATCAATTCTCTCAAAACCACACATCCTCCCCACCACTCCAAGACCACGGTCCCTATTTTTCTCATCTTTACTCTAGGGCCCGGAGAAGTCTCTAGAAAATAACCAGCTTTAAGACAGCCATTACCTTGAAGCTTCTTGTCAGCTGCAGCCTGGTGAAATGCAGCTCCTCCCCCAAGACCGGCCAGGCACAGCTCACTTGCAAGCTTCTCAGAGAATGCTCCACCCCCTCTCTGTGATGGGAAAGACAGAAGGCCCCTTCCTGAATCAGAGGAGGGAGAAATGCCCTAGTTAAACCACTGAAGTGTGAAGGGTAGAAACGTTCCTTTTGAAAGAACTTTAAAGTGAAATAGCAACAAGTGTCTGTTTAAGTTCTCTTCAAATTCTTAGGGTGTGCGATTTCTTGATAAAAAGAGATAGCAAATCACTTTATTAAAAAATAAAAATCTAGTTTAAATTATTCCTTATGTATTTTTTCCTTGCCTTCTCTGGCACCTGACCTCTGCAGGTAAATTTAAAACTCAGCTGGTCAAGCTCCATTAAAATAGCTCATTAAGGACCTTGATTTGGATTGCACTAAAACTGTACATTATTTTAGGGAAAATGGCTTCTTTATAATATCTTTTTCTGTTTCTAGTAGATGGTATGTCTCTCTTTTTATTCAGTTCTTCTTTTAAACATTTCAGGAAAGTAAACGTGGATATTTCTGACTAGAGGCTGAAAAATCACTGGTTTGGCAGGAAAGTATGCATTTTGCATACTCTCATCAATAACTGGCAATTCTTTCTTCTTCTGTTTTGCTAGTATTTTTCACTCAGGCACAATTCCATGTGAGGAAAATTAAGTTTTAAAAATTTACGTCTTTATTTGTATGTCTGAAATATATTTTGCAAATTTTGTTCATTAAAATTCTCCTGTGTTAAATTTAAATTCAGATTTTTGATTTAACTTAGAAAGCCAATTTTAAATACCATTAGTGATAATTTTTTTTTAAAGATTGGCACCTGAGCTAACAACTGTTGCCAATCTTCTTTTTCTCCCCAAAGCCCCCCATTATGTAGTTGTATATTCTAGTTGTAGGTCCTTCTGGTTGTGCTATGTGGGACTCCACTTCAGTATGGCCTGATGAGCGGTGCCATGTCTGCACCCAGGATCCAAATCTATGAAACCCTGGGCTGCCGAAGCAGAGTGCGTGAACTTAACCACTCGGCCACGGGGTCGGCCCCATTAGTGATAATTTTGAGAATGAAGATATTTGAGGATGAAGTGCCTTATCTGGCCTCTGTATCATATAATATGTAATATATATTTTAAAAATCCACCTTTATATAAGCATTCATATTGGAACAATAAATACCAATAAATGAATGAAGATTATCTCTAGGCTGGTGTATTATTGAGGGCTGTAATAATTAGAGTATGTGATGTTATGTACTATAAACAACCCCTAAGTCTCAGAGGCTCACCCACAAAAGTTTATTTTGCTGATGTCAAAGATCAATGTAGGTTATCAAGCGGCCAGAAAGGGGATGGGTTCTCTGTTCCAAGTAGTCATTAAGGGACTCAAACTTCATCCTGTGTCTCTACCATCTTCTTTGGTCTTGAAATCCTCCACCGCATTTTTGCACCTGGCTAGCAATCTTATGAAGAGGGAGGTTAGAGAATCCTGTGGAAGGTTTTAGGGGCCAAGTCTGGCAAACGTCACTGCCAGTCACAGTCAACTAGCTAAAGCTGCCACAGAGGCTGAGGAAGGCAGTCTCCCTGTAATCCAGGAAGAAATTGAAACAGAGTTTGATGAACACGTAGCACTCTCTTCGCCACAGAAGTTTTCCCTTTAGATCTTTTATAGACTTCTGTTATTTGTTTAATGCTTTTTTTTTTTACAACTGTGTATCATATTTATAATGCCTGGGACAGAAATGTCTAGTTCGTCTCCCCTTATCCACTCTTTGCATTCTTTCTCATTAGCAGAACCCCAGTTGCATTCAGAGTGGCAGTATAAACTCTTAAAAGACTACGTTTCCCAGACTCCCTTACTGTGAGCTGTGGCCATGTGATGGAATTTCTTTTCAAAGAATATAAGCAGAAATAGTTGTGAATATTCTAGAGAAGGTACCTCTAAAGGAGGTAAACAGACAGCTTGGGCTTTTTTTCGCTTTCCCTCTTTCTCATTTCCTCCCTAGAATTTGATCATGATGGAATTCAGACAGCCATTCTGGACCAAGAAAAGCCTTAGAAAATGGATGCAACTCACTAGGGACTGAAGATCCTGAAGCCCTGAATAATGTGACCACCTCATTCAATCACTTTAACTTAGTGAAACAATAAACGTCTGCCTTACTTATATCACTGTGTTTGCTAGTCTCTTTCTAGTAGTAGAACAAAATAGTTGATCTTACAATCACCAACAGAAATAATATCATTCTTAGAATTAATCTTTTCAAAGCTTTCAAAGTATTACTAGGTAAGTTAAAGAGGATTATCAGGCCAGTGAAAATATGGCTTTATTTAAATGAAGATTTATTCAGTTACCTATTTTATAATGTAATATTTCTTATTCTTCTCATTTTACGTTTGGAAAAAAAACAAATGCACATAAAGTATGGTAATTGCGTTAAAACTATACTTTCTTGTATTTATTTTGTCTATTTTCTATATTGCACCTAAATCAGGAAATGCTACATTGCCTCACCATTTTCCAAGCAATATGCAAAGGAAAATATTAATTCCTTGGATAATCTATATTTCACTGTTTTGTAGAAGGAGAGGGAGAATGATAACCAATAATAATAAACGTTACTACTACTACTATTATTGTAGTGAAGATAGATAATAATTATACATATAATAGTATCTAATACCTATAAAAGTTTCCTATATGCCAAGCACTGTTCTGAGCACTTGACATATTATCTCACTTAATAATCAGATGGTTATTTCGTGGAAGAGAGTCTTACAACTTACTCATTCCGTATAACAACAGTAATATTATTAATAATAATGACAAAGATGATAGAAGCCAAAAGTGCTTCTTAGCATGTTCCAGGCACTCTGACAAGTGCTTTTATATACCATCTCCCTTGATTCTTACAAAATTTTGTTAGGTCGATATTATGAGCATTCCCATTTTGTAGATGAGGCATTAGAGAGGTTAATACAAGGATATCTAGGAAGCATTTGGCACATGGGATTTGAATCCAAGTACTTTGACTCCAGAGGCCTCACTCTAATCACTAAGATGCACTGTACCTACCACATTGTAAATGGAAAATGCTCTAGAAACATGTGCTGGATGAATGGGTGAATTAATAAATGCATTTGAAATGTGTGGGGAGTCACTGGAAAGAGAATTCTGTACCTGGTTCTGCATCTAATTAAACATAAATTAGTCTTATATAACATAATGTAATTATGGCAGTGAGTGACATGCCATCACTTTTTCCAAATTCTATTGATTAGAAACAAGTCACAGGTTCTGCCCACACTTAAGGGGAGGAAATAATACAAGGGAGCGGGTCACCTAGGCTGTCTGTCACAATATTGTATTATTCCTTTTATATGACATTTTCAGAAAGAAAAAAGTATGGTTATGGTGACATGATCAATGACTGCCATGGGTTATAGGTAGGGGGAGGGTGTGACTATATAAGGATAGTACAGGAAGTTGTGGGGGTGATGGAACTCTTTTGTTTTCTGACTGGTAGTGATTATATAAATCTACACATATATAAAATCCAAAGAAGTGTATATAAAAAGTCACATATTATATATGATAATTTAAAGTATAATTTTAATAGATAATTAAAAAATAAAAATTTAAATGAAAAATTTAATAACCATTATATAAAAATCAATTCTTTACAAGTATGCTTCAGAAACCATCTGCTTCTTCCTAAAGCATATTTAATAACAAAGGAAAAAAAATAACACCCATACATTATTAGAAAGCACCAGTTTCATTCCACTTAGGATATAAAAAGCCACAAGAAAATGCCACCCATAACTTTATAATGATAAAAATTTAGATAATCTACAAAACCATAACATCCCTTGAGCCCATCAGAGAACTGAGGTCAACCGAATTCCAAAGGATGACCAGCCCCTTTAAAGAGAGACCATAGGTACTGTTTTATCTTTGGCAAAGCATGGAGAAAGAGGTGGCTGTCATGCAATCAGGAAAAAAGAAATCAGCTGAAATTTTAATGAATTCTTAAATTCTTAATGGGCTAGTATGTCAGTACTTTGGATTATCTGGCATTTCAGACACTTATATGCTCACTGCCAAGTTCTCTTTCACAGTCCTTAACCAGAAGCATACAAACATGACTGGGGACAAAGCAGGAAACCAAAAAGAACCCATGTCAAGTGGTTCAGGCATGCAGGAAGCAATCAGTTGTTGCTGACAGAGAGACATGCAGCCCCACACAGTTATCCAAACCCTTCTACTGTGGGAAGCCAAAGCCTTAAGCCACTAGGGGAGATGTAGCAAGGACTCTGCTACTGGACCCAGGTAAAAATCCATTGCTTCTGGGAGAGGCATAGAAGCAAAACCTATCTGCCTAGGGAGGAGGAGATAGGAAACTCTCCCATCCTCTGGACAAAGGCAGAGATCCAATTGCTGCTGGGGGAGAAGTAGAAGCAAAAACCATCTGCCTCTGAAGAGGAACAGAAAACCCTCTGGCCCAAGATCCTACATGAATAAAAAGCTACTGATGAGGAAGGGGCAAGAATGTATCTCTCACTAAAAACCAACGCCAGATACAAATCTGAGGTCAACTGTCATGTTGAGAGGAAAGAATGCTGAGAAAGTGCAACCCTCAAGGTCCAGTTGCAAAGGGCCTCCCTAATGTTGAGGCTGGACAGGACAACAGAAAGCATTCCCTGCCTCACTATGAGTCTAGCACCTAATAACAATAGGAGACTACTGCTGCAAAATAGGCAAGAGGATGAAGAGAGTGTCCCTATCCAACCCCGCTCTAGCGGAACAGGTGTGAAGAGACTGCTGAAAATTTAGGGTGGAAAAAGATGACTGAAAAAAATCCTCTGGCACTCCAGGCTCCACTCGAAGCAAAATAGTGCACATCATGAAAACCAGATGACAACGAAGTGAGAAAAAGAAGACACAATCTTCAACATATTTTATGATACCAGCATTAACCTGATATCAAATCTAGAAAAAAAACAAGTAAAGAAAACTACAGATCAATGTGTCTCATAAACAAAGACACAGATTCAACGATATAGATATAGAAATGGAATTCT